TTTAGCGTTTTGAGGTGTTTGTTGTGGTTGGATCTATCGATTTAAGCTTAGCTGGATATGTCGATTTAAGCTTAGTTGGAATACTGATATAAGCTTAGCTGGAAATACTGATGTAAGCTTACCTAGATACAGTGATTATAATCTTAGTTGGAAATGTCGAAGAAGCTTAGTTGAAAATAAAAGATAAACTTAACTAAAAAAAAAGAAATAAACTTAGCTGGAAATACCAACACAGCTTAAACAACAAATTTCAGTAATATAACACCGCGGTAATTTCCCTTTATATTGTCTTGGCAAGAAAAATTATCCCGACGATTTTAAGTTTCACTGACTAGCTATTGGCCATTGTCTTGTGTCTTAACCCTGTTGTTTTGATGGGAAATGGGTGTTGTTTTGATGGGAAATGGGTGTTGTTTTGATGGGAAATGGGCGTTGTTTTGATGGGAAATGGGTGTTGTTTTGATGGGAAATAGGTGTTGTTTTGATGGGAAATGGGTGTTGTTTTGATGGGAAATATCTCAATTTGATGGGAAATTTCTATTTTGTTTTGAGGGAAATTAATATTGTTTTGCTAGGAAAAAAATGATAGTTCATATATAATCTTAATCGAAAATATTGCGACAGTTTCTACGTTAAATCTACAATACTCAGATAATTATAAATAATATTGTAACGTTGATTGAGAAGTGCTAAGATATTGTAATAATAACTCTAGGTGTCTTGGTATTGTTTTGATTGTTAATTCTGCGATAGTTTGGATATTGTACATTCCCCCACAACTTAACCATAAATTCTGAGTTACTTGACCGTAAAAAATCTGCGGTAACAATATATTGACCGGCAAATTCTACGATACTATGGTAAAAATGTATTATGAGATATTGTGTTAAACTGCAATAGTCGCGAAATAAATACAAATTTTCTCTTTAATATACGCATCTCCTATACGCAATAAAATAAATATAAAATTGTTGTAAAAATAAGATTTGCGTATATTGCGTATTTGATCAGTTTTGAGACAGTGAGACGCATATTGATTTGGTTACGCACAAATTTACGCATTATTCACCATCAGTATGTCAGCGTATACTATCATCCTGCCTGTATATGCGTCTCAGAATCACACGTATGATAGCAACAGTGTATGAGTATGATTATTGTGGGTCACGAAACACGTGGCTGGGTCTATACGAATTCTGAACTGGTTTTAAACATGTTTTGACCCAGTTCATAACAGGTATCATTAACTGGTGTATTGAGGAAGGGTATTGTTATCGGTGTGTGTGTGTGTGTGTGTGTGCAATTAAGTGAGCGATTTTTTTTTATCTTGCATATCTATTGTTTTTGTTTGTACTCTTGCGTAATTGTACTTTCCTTGTTTGATGTTTTCATATTTAAGTGCTCGGTGTGTTTGTTATGCACGTTTCATTGTTTTGCGTATATACAGTGTACGTATTTCTCGTTTGTTTGTTTATGATGGGTGTATTTTAGTAATCATGTTTAATAATTCTGTATCCATATTGTGTATTTTTGGTTAGTTGATATTTACGACGTTTCGTGCTTCATAATCTGCGTATATTTATTACATACGTGTTTTATAACTGTGCGTAATTAAAGCACCAAATTTGCGTAACTATGAAAATATATAACAACCAATAGTAATTTTTTTTGTACTTGAACTCAAATATTTTCTAAATGTGCGTAAGTGATATATACGCATTTTCTACTTTGTTTCATAATTGTACGTATTAACATCATCCGTGTTTCTAAATTTTGCGTATATTTCAACGCGTGTTTCATAAGTTGGCGTATCGTAAATGGTCATATTTCATATTTCTTCGTCTTTTAGTGATCATTTTCCATAAGACTTCTAACGTACTTGTTCCTAAATGCTGTGTATATGAACGATCATTTCCGTAATGCGTATTTATAATTTTTCAATGTCCGGGTTTCCCAATTATTCCTATTTAGATCGTTCTTGTGTCATAATTTTTCGTCCTTAGAATAAAACTCATCCGTGATAATTAATTCCTCGTCCGGTGACCAAACATAAAACACTGACCGAAGTTAAATGATATGCGTAAGTGTTTCATAATTATTAAGTTAATACACATTGATATAACTTCCCTTCCAGTTTGTGTAAGGAAATTATTCAAGTGTCATAATCCATACTGTGTACTTTCTCTTCGCATGCGTCATTATGCGTATATCTATTGCGTATAAAGACTTCACTATATCTATATCCAGTGGAGATTTTTCCCTCTACAATGCGTATATGTCAGAATCTTGCATTATACGCGTTCTATTTTTCACAATTGACATAGATGCGTATTTGGGTTATAGTTGCGTATATGTTTTTTATTCGTTATACGCTTCGTTTTAGTGCGTATGGTAATTATTGATTTATACACTCAAGCGTATGTGTATGGGTGATGCCATTGTCCGTGCGTATTTATATCATTAATTTACTGATTTCATGTATATTATGTATTCAAACTTCGTAATCTTGTATGCTTGTCCGTGCGTATATAAGTGTGCGTGTCTGTCCGTGCGTGTATGTATGTTTGTGTCTGTCCGTGAGCATGTTTGTATTCTGTACGTGTATCAAGTTCACAACGGACACTAACTCTTGTCCGTTGTTTCTTGTTCGTAATTGTGTGTGAGTGTGTCCGTATGTATGATAACAGGGATACATGTGTGTCTAAAATGAATGGTGATAGGATGCATAGGCCTATGTATCTGTATTATGGTGGTAGTATGTATGTATGTATGTATGTATGTATGTATGTATGAAAATGCAGCGTCCATATAACAGCAGCGTCCATATAACAGCAGCGTCCATATAACAGCAGCGTCCATATAACAGCAGCGTCCATATAACAGCAGCGTCCATATAACAACAGCGTCCATATAACAGCAGCGTCCATATAACAGCAACGTCCATATAACAGCAGCGTCCATATAACAGCAGCGTCCATATAACAGCAGCGTCCATATAACCATATAACAGCAGCGTCAGCACGTCCATATAACAGCAGCGTCCATATAACAGCAGCGTCCATATAACAACAGCGTCCATATAACAGCAGCGTCCATATAACAGCAGCCATATAACAGCAGCGTCCATATAACAGCAGCGTCCATATAACAGCACAGCAGCGTCCATATAACAGCAGCAGTCATATAACAGCAGCGTCCATATAACAACAGCGTCCATATAACAGCAGCGTCCATATAACAGCAGCGTCCATATAACAGCAGCGTCCATATAACAACAGCGTCCATATAACAGCAGCGTCCATATAACAGCAGCGTTCATATAACAGCAGCGTCCCTATAACAACAGCGTCCATATAACAGCAGCGTCCATATAACAGCAGCGTCCATATAACAGCACAGTCACACTCTCCAAGGTGAAGTAAACATTGTATATAAAAGGCAGTGAGTGACAAAAGACTCCAAGGACCTCACTGTCCGTCCAGGCCCTCAGGAGTGACCAAGAGTCCTCCCTCATTGTGGTGGAGGAGGGACACGTTGAGGACATGTACTCAGTCGTCCCTCACAGTGTGGTTGAGGACATGTACTCAGTCGTCCCTCACAGTGTGGTTGAGGACATGTACTCAGCCGTCCCTCACAGTGTGGTTGAGGATATGTACTCAGTCGTCCCTCCCAGTGTGATTGAGGACATGTACCCAGCTGTTCCTCCCAGTATGGTTGAGGACATGTACTCAGTCGTCCCTCCCAGTGTGGTTGAAGGCATGTACCCAGCTGTTCCTCCCAGTGTGGTTGAGGACATGTACTCAGCCGTCCCTCACAGTGTGGTTGAGGACATGTACCCAGCCGTCCCTCACAGTGTGGTTGAGGACATGTACTCAGCCGTCCCTCACAGTGTGGTTGTGTTGAGGACATGTACCCAGCCGTCCCTCACAGTGTGGTTGAGAACATGTACCCAGCCGTCCCTCACAGTGTGGTTGAGGACATGTACCCAGCCGTCCCTCACAGTGTGGTTGAGGACATGTACCCAGCCGTCCCTCACAGTGTGGTTGAGAACATGTACCCAGCCGTCCCTCACAGTGTGGTTGAGGACATGTACCCAGCCGTCCCTCACAGTGTGGTTGGTGATGAGGGTGGCCAACTACCCTGGCATGGGATATGGGAGGACCCTTTTCAACACAGGAAACCACTGGATGAGAGAGCGAGAGCAGCGTTTTCATGGGTTTTGAGGTGTCCAATACATCAAGCGGAGGGGGCCTGGCAGTCTTAATGGCTGTAGCTCGTTTGCTAAACGTTGTGGGGTCATCAGACTGCTGCCCACCAGAGCAATTCTCACTCGAGGTAAATGAATCCTGTCTGGTTGGGTTAAGGTATTTAGGGTGATGATGGAAACGGTGTTGCCCTTTTTTGTCGACAGATGGAGATAGTTTCTTGCCCGGTGAGAGCCAGACGAGCTGATAGGCCAGAGGCGACCAATGAGCGTGCGTCCTCTGTTGATCGATTCCGGCTCAGGCTCAATCAATTAGTGCACACAGTAGGTATATGGGAAATGGATTTAGGTATTTTTTGATTGTCAATGCGTGAGTTAAAGTTGTTTGTAACTCTTAGGTACAAAGTTTGTTGTATTCTTTGGGCTTTCCTATCTATTTTTCTGTAATAAATTTACTATTTACAAGACAAAATAAATAATAAAAGAAGGCACCGCCTGAGTCCACTTCACCCCTCTCTCCGTGCGTCGACAGTGTCTGTATCCCGCTCCCTGATTGGTGGAGATTCGTGGAACCCCGCCCAAGTCCGCCAGACTCCGCCCTAATCCCGCCTCCGAAAGTGATGTAGCAGAAAAATGGTTGGACTACATAGTGTTCACTCGTGTTCCCGTTGTAGGACACGCACTTTTACAGCGTCAACTCTATGTAGCGGAGGTGATAGCAAGTCACCTACAACTCGTGCCACAAGTTCAACTTGTTCATACATCCACAACTTGAACGTTTACTCCCAAGGTAAAGATCTTCTTCGAGCTGAACTTACTGTAGTGAAACCCTGTGCATTTGTGTTTACGATCACCGCCGAATTATAAGTGTTATGGTGAACTGAGTGTCGGGAACCACCAGTTTTTCTCTCCAGTCCAGCGTGTGAAGGGGCTGGCGCGGGCTGTTCTGCTGGTACTCCTGGGGCTCCTCGTCGCCACCTGACCACACAAACTGTTTTAATTTTCCTCACGCTCTTGAAAATGTGGCGGTGAACCTGTGGAGGAAGTGTGGTGGTGGTGGTGATCCCAGGACCTGCCCTCCCGCACGAGTGGTGGTCAACCCCGGCGACATGTGTGAGTGTGGTGCCAGCATCAGCCAGGCCACGTCGCTACCCATCATCACCATCATCATCATCATCACCATCATCATCATCATAATCATCAACATATCAGTGTGGGGGGGGGGAGGGGGTGTGTAGGGGGTAGGTGATGTGTGTACTCAAACAAGCTACAACTTTAAACTAAACGAACACAGTTTAACGCGATGAAAATCTCTCAAAGTTTCTCAGCTTCTCTCATCTCTCACCATCAGGAAAAAAAAAGACTAACTCCCTTATCTCGTTCTCCCGTCGTCACCAGAACCAGGATAAACAAACCCCACATCCTCGCCCCCACAAGACTGTCAGCCGAGGATGACGTCCCTCCCACCGACAGTGACAAACCAAGACTCAATCAACACCCTTAATTATGGGGATTATTTTTCACCTCTCTGGTCTATCACCTCCCCGCTGACCCGACCCGATGACCCGACCCGCTGACCCGACCCGACCCCGTGACGCAGCTGTGGATCCGAATTAGAGTTGTGAGACCCGTGGAGTGTGTATCCTGTAGGGGACATTTGTGGTTTATTGATGACCAAGGCGGTAGAATTCCGTCCTTCCTTCCGTCCGCCGGTGTGTGACGGGTGGAGATGTGACGGAGTGGGATAGTGACGCTGGGGTGATGGTGTGAGTGATAGTGATGGTGTTAAAGACTTATTTATATTCTTATAAAAATCAAAAGAAATACTAGTAAATTGTTCCTTTATTTATGATATTTATTCAAGCAGCGCGACGGGGAGGAACCGGTGTGACGTCATCGCGGGTAACAAATATATTTTAATTATTATTAGTATATAAACTCATAACTGCCGTGCTTATAAAAAAAACACCCTCCTTTATCAGTACGTAGTAACTTGACTCTCTGCAGTACAACGTAAATATTATCTAAGTCTTGTTTATCATTCAGTATAAAAGATTTTCCTTCATATACAGGGTCATCCAAAAAGAATTACCCAGGTTTAATTATATAACCATTTAGAATCTAGGTGGTTGTCGATGGCTCCATATAATCCTCCTGAACCCTCAAAGCAAGCCTCTGAGAATGTGGATTTAATGGATAAAAACTTGGGGTTAATTCCGGATAAATCGCCTCTGCCACATGTTGAAATCCCGGCCCGTTGTCCCGTCGGTAAATCCAGCCAACGAGGTGGTGGTGACCCTGGCCGCTGTCTCACCGCCACTCTGCGGACTAACTCGGCCAAGTTTGAGACACGAGTAGCTAAGAGACTTCAAGAGGGAGACAAAAAGTTCATTTAGACCGTCTCGCCCCGCTGGGATTTTTGAGGTCGGGCGGCACCAACATTGAGTACAGTCTATTTTTTTTTTGTATTTTTAAGTCATTCGTGTGTAGTGATTTGTTATTCTGATATACGAGGAAGATATTATTTTTATGGTCCAAACAATATACAGTATACTCACGGGGAAGAGTATATGACTGAGAGAGAGGAAAAAATATATATATATATACTTGCGATCGTTGACAAAAACTCATTTCATGTTTTTAGTGTTTTTGTTCAGAAGTGGGATAGCGTGTGGGGGGTGGGAGGGGAGAGGTACGACGTGTAATAAACGAGGAAGCATTAATCACACCACCAAGAAGAACTCATTTAAATGCATGCCAGGGAGACAACCAGCCATTATGCGGTCCTCCCCCCCCTCCCAAACAGCCTCGACAAAGGGCCGCCTCTCGCTAAATTTTCACTCTGGGGGAACCAAATCTAAGCCAATGTTTTTCGTGTCTTATTATCTGCAGGCGTCGAGAGGTTTAACATGAATATATTGTCGTTCTCTGGCCGGTGGTGGAGATCGATGTGTCCTGTCAGGGTAGTGATGGTATCTGGGAGCGAACCCGTCATGACTTCACCTTCCTAAAGATCTCCTCTATCATTTACTGGTCACCTTCACCACTGTGTCTAGCCTTAGGTGTGTGTGTGTGTGTACGCCCCATAACAGCGCCCCGACAAGCCCTGGTGTTATATCACATTAGCGCCCTGGAGGAGCTGCTACTCGCTGTTGCTGTCCTATCAGTGTTGAACCCTGACAGCTTCCTACAAGGGTTCACCCCCCCCCCCTCCTAGTGTGACACCAGCAGTAATGTAGAGCCCCTACCGCTACAAGTGACGCTGAGCCCTGGCTACAAATGACGTTGAGCCCCTGCCGCTACAAATGACGTTGAGCCCTGCTAAGACGTTGAGCCCTGCCGCACAAGTGACTGAGCCCCTGCCGCTGCAAGTGACGCTGAGCCCCTGCCGCTACAAGTGACGCTGAGCCCTGCCGTACAAGTGACGCTGAGCCCTGCCGCTACAAGTGACGCTGAGCCCTGCCGCTGCAAGACGTTGAGCCCCTGCCGCTACAAATGACGCAAAGCCCCTGCCGCTACAAGTGACGTTGAGCCCTGCCGTTACAAGTGACACTGAGCCCTGCCGGTACAAGTGACGCTGAGCCCCTGCCGCTGCAAGTGACGCTGAGCCCCTGCCGCTACAAGTGACGCTGAGCCCTGCCGGTACAAGTGACACTGAGCCCTGCCGCTACAAGTGACGCTGAGCCCTGCCGCTACAAGTGACGCTGAGCCCCTGCCGCTACAAGTGACGCTGAGCCCTGAGGTGGCCAGGGGAACAAGGCGGTGTTCCCCATCGTTCACAGCTTCGGCTTCCACTGATCCTGGTGTCATGGCGCTTGCTGAGGCGTCCCTGATAATTCTCTAAGTTAATCTCCAATTTGGAATCCCTGTACTTTTCCCCTCTCCCAACTGTGGCTGCTTACCACCCCTCCATAGCGCCTGGCCTCCCGCTCTCTTGTCTCTACACAGCGTCCTGTCGCCCCTCTAATGCAGGCTGTCACGCCCTTCCACAGCGCCCTCTCTCCATCCCTCTTTTCGCAGCGCTCTCCCTTCCTCCTCTTTCCGCAGTCCCGTCTCTCTTCTTTCTACAGTGCCCTCCCTTCCCTTCCTCCCTCCCTCCCTCCTCTTTCTGCAGCGCCTTCCCGTCCCTCCTCAGCGCCCTTCACCCCATCGCCACCGCCGCCGCTGCCGTCCGCTGTTTCAGAGGGTGCGAATGATTACGGCGGATAGTTGTTTATATGCAAATCAGAACGACACAGATTTAACTGCGTTGTTTGGTCATTACCGCCCGCCTGTTGGGGTAATTGTCCGGGTTTATGTTTTAGCCTCGTATGTTTCACTTTTCTTTTAATTGGTTGTTTTGTAATTGACGAATTGAAACTGTGATTCGATTCATTGCATTTTTTATGTTGCTACGAGGTGGAAGTGGCACTGAGTGACGATGGTGGTGGCAGTGTGTGACGGTGGTGTGGTGGCACTGAGCGACGGTGGTGGCACTGAGCGACGATGGTGGCAGTGAGCGACGGTGGTGGTAATTGAGGTAGACAGTGGTGTTGGCAGAGGCAGTGAGTTACGACGGCAATGGTGGCACTGGTTGACGGTGATGGTGGCAGTGTGTGTTTGTGTGACGGTGGTGATGGTGGCTCTAAATAAGACACAGGCAGTGGATGGTGTTGAGTTAAGTAAGGAGTGGATGAAGATGGTGGTAGTAGTAGTAGTAGTAGTATTGGTAGTAGTAGTAGTAGTGATAGTAGTATTAGTGGTGGTCGTAGTAGTGGTAGTGGTCGTGGTAGTGGTGGTGGCAGAACTAAATGAGAAGCGATAGCATTAAGTTAAGAGCTATAGGTGGTCGTAATAGTTGTTGTGGTAGTAGTAATAGTAGTAGTTATGGTGGTAGTCATGGCCGCTGCGAGAGACGGGGTGTTGCAGGAGGGAGATGGTTCGTGTTGGGTGTATATTAATTACCAGAACGAAGGTGTAATCGGGGTGTAGACAGGTAAACACTAAGGTATATATGGTGTCTGTACTGCGAGAAATACAAACAAAATACAAATAAAAACAACAACAAATACAGACAAAACAAAAACAATAACAAAAATTAACTCGTGGTAAAGTGTGTAATTAAATGAATAATTAATTACGTATTTGTAATCAATAGTTTGATTTGTGTATGTATTTACGTGTGTGTGTGTGTGTGCGTGTGCGTGTGTGTGTGTGTGTGTGTGTGTGTGTGTGTGTTTTTCGTCTTGTTATTGGTAATTTAACATAATGAATTCAGCTTACCGACTAGAGTAAATTTTAATAGTTATTTACACTACATTATCCACCTTTCTTCACTATCATCATCATCATCGCCTAAGTATTCATCATTTCACCATCATCATCATCATCATTATCATTCTCGGTAGTAGTATCATCATCATCATTATTATCATTCTCTCCCTTTCTCACAGCTAAATTCATCGCCATCATCATTATTTAATTTTCTTAGCTCTTGGTTAGTCATCATCATCATCATCATCATCATCATCATCATTATTATTATTATTATTATTATTATTATTATTATTATTATTATTTATTTTCCTTTATTTCAGAGCTACAGGTTATTCCATTTGCCTCATCACATCACCAACCAAAACATTACCTTTATCATTACTGTCAACATCCGTCTTTATGTTCATCTCCTCATTTCTCTCCGTTCTTCATCACGTACAAGAACATTTCAACATCCATAAAATCAACACTTCACCAACATCATTTTGTGCTTAGTGTCGCCTCAACATCATTCGTAAACATCACCACAGCCTCCCCCTCCCCCCCTCCTCTCTCTCTCTCTTCCTTCTTCATCCCATCACGTACACTGAGCATGAATCGTCCTTTTTACCCGTACGTTGCCATGTTGGTGTGTCGTCCGTATAGCATCAGTATAGCAGCACCATCAGCAACAATCTCCTCACCATCGTCATGATCACAGCAGCAGCACCACACTTCACAATCCTCATAATCATTACCTGGATTACACCTTTGCCCGACAGCTTCACGATCACCATCATCATTATCCTTCCAATCAGTCACTCCATCACCGTAGTCAACCAGACGAGCCCTCACAGCCATCACCATAAACCTTCTCCATCTCTTATCTCCTCCACGCTGGTCCTTCCCTCCCTCCATCTCTATACCCTCCCTCCCACATGCCCCGTCCCATCTATGCTTTTATTCCCTCTAGCACACGGTAGCCGGGAAAACCTCTTGGAAACTGCCCGGTAGATGTGCTAACTGGCTAATTATAAGCTCCGGGGAGGGTAGGATGGCGGGCGTCCTTTGAGACAGTCCAGACACACTTGACCTGACGACCTGGAGCATCTAAAACTTTATGGCGGCAGCAACTTCGTCTCCAAACAGGATTGGGCGGAGGTTCTTGTTATTCATTTGTTTATAACTGCGGGAGTCTGTGATTACCTACCCCAGTAATGAAGGGGATTCCGTATCATAAGTTAAGGTGAGGTGGTTCGCCTGTATCCGGGAGGTGGGCGGAGTCTGGCGTGAAATATAATCATTATTTACTCGCGATTTTGAAATATAAAACAATTACGGAAGAGCATTACGACTTGGGGAGGGAAAAACTCCGCCATGGTGAAACAACCGACCGACCAGATTGGAATCGGACCATGAGAATCCAACCCAACGAAGCCCGACCAAAAACAAAAACACAGAGGATCGAGTTTATGACTGTAGGTGCTAATGGAGGAGGCGGGAGGGGGTCATCTGCGTCGTCTTCTCCTTATCTTAGACAACATCTAATTATCACGTGTAATCGAGTGGGCTTATCGGGTTCATCAGTGGGCCAGCAGCGACGAGATGGTAGCCGCGCCGCCCACCTCCCTCTTTACGACCCCGGCGCTCCTGAAGAAGGCGCTGCCGACGCTCGCCTCCCGGCACTACGCCAAGATTTTCTTCTTTCTTTTCTTTTGAGTTTTATTACAACTTTGTGTAACTAAATGGGCGTAAGTGTGGGTAGATAGGCGTAAGGGCGCTCTGATGACAGTGTTGATGTTAAAACTGGAGATGTTACCTCGGCTGGGGCGGCGGTTCATCATCGGAGTCAGCTATTATATATATACTCACTTATATGAAGGTAGAGGGGGTATATTACACAACACATACCGTATACATACACAACACATACCGTATACATACACAACACATACAGTATACATACACAACACATAAATAACACAGGCGGTAAAAGATAACATTCCCACCTCATTATTGTGGTCTTGGCGCAGTGTGTTGCCATTATGACCCTATTACCTGTACATGTTGTATTAAGAGCGACTTACACACCCGAGTATGTTCCTTGTATCATATTGGCTTACACACTTGAGTACATTGCGATGTCTTATCAATTATTTACACGCCAGAGCTTGTACTAGACGGCACAAAACTCTTCCTCCTCTCTCTACCACCGCGTCTCCTTCACATCATTTCCCTACTTGTTTCCTCTTAACATTTTGTGATGATAAATAGTTATTTTTAAATCCTCAGATATTTTTACAATCCTAATATTTTTTTTCTGGTAATGATAAAGGAATATTTTATTGTCTATATTGAGTATATTTTTTTATAATTCAATACGTATTTTTAGTTTGTATTTTTTAGCGTAATATGTGTAATATACGCTGTATGGATTTATTGCATTGCGTAAAGGATTTATTAGTTAGCTTCAATTAATCATAACATTATTTCGTTTCTGTATACTTATTACGCATTATATACATTCAAATCAATACACAAATATGAACATTACAGCTGTGTATTTTATGTTATAATTAGTGCGTAAATCCTCTAAAATGTCAACCACAAAAATAGCGATGATTTCACTTCTGTTCTCTCTCATGCGTATTGCGTATAAATTCATCAGTTTAAACCCCCGCTCCTGTGTTTATAATTCATGAACTTTTGGGTTATTTTCCTCCACCTAACTGATCAAACGTTTGCCTCTCAGATATTTACCGGGAATTGCGTTTCTCTCAGCGCCTTATTACATATTGCGTATATGTCTCAGCGTTCTGTTTCATATTGCGTATATCTTAGCCCCTTGCCTTATGTATTGCCTATTTCTCAGCGCCTTATCACATTTTGCGTATATATGTCTCAGCGCTGTTTCATGTTGCGTATAGCTTATCGCCTTGCTTTATGTATTGCGTATATTGTTTATTTCCTTGCTTCATGTATTGCGTATATTGTTTATCTCCTTGCTTCATGTATTGCGTATATAACTTATCGCCTTGCTTTGTGTTTTGCGTATATAGCTTATCGCCTCGCTTCATGTATTGCGTATATAGCTTATCGTCTTGCTTCATGTATTGCGTATAGCTTATCGTCTTGCTTCATGTATTGCGTATAGCTTAGCCTCTTGCCCCATATATTGCGTATATAGCTTATCGCCTTGTCTCGTGTATTGCGCAAGCGTATATAGCTTAGCCCCTTGCTTCATGTACTGCGTATAGCGGCTTCCCCCTACATTCATCGTCCATCTCAACCAAACACTACAGTATATAATTTACGCATATAATATATCTCCCTCCGCCAACTAGTCTATAATACAAGTAATTCAAATGTATATACTTAGTGCGTATGGCGTATATTTTCATTCCTGTAATTGATACTTGTTGTCCCATCGGTTGAGTGTTATAGGGTTATATATATATAATCTCCTCTATTATACTATATCACTGTTATAGGTTCTGTTATATGATGCCTTATTTATATGCACCTCAACAGTATAACTAGATTTATATATTAATTGTATATATACGGTAAGATTCGTATAACACCATTATTTTGCGTAGTTTACATTATCCGTTGAATTATACACCGATGGCGTATATAAGTGTTTCTGGTCATATAGGTTCAAGCGTATAAAATAGTGCGTAAATAGTGCGTCAATTCACCATCTTGTTTATAATTTAATATTTCGCGTTAAATCTTATATATGTCTCTTATAAGTTCAGGTATTATATACGCATGTTATTCTTGATGTTTGTTAAGTGGTAATTGCGTATTTGTTGTGTATAGTTTTGTATTATGTATGTTGGTATATTTATGTGTATATATACGCCCTTGGTGATATTAATAACTTATGCGTTTTTAATATCAGTAGTTTACAACACATATACATACATACATACATACATACATACATACAGTAAACACAAACACGCGTTAACAACCCTCTCTAGGTGTTATCTCTCATGTCTTGGTCAAGTTAACTGTGTTTTATCTGAAGGTGGTGTACTGTGATGTGTAGGGTGCCAGGTCTTCTCTCCCTCCCTCTCCCTTCCTGTCTCCCTCCCTGTCTCCCTGTCTCCCTCCCTCCCTCCCTCCCTCCCTTCATGCCTGGTAGTTATTGTGAAATCTTGTAGTAGTTCTCTCTCTCTCTCTCTCTCTCTCTCTCTCTCTCTCTCTCTCATACCGGTAAATAATTCATTACATACGATATTCATATATACATACATACATATATACATACATACATAGCTACATACATACATACTGTACATACCTACATATATACATACACTACACTTCACACTCATACATGTACTGTACCTGTTTATATATTTACATTGCAGGCTACATAATTCTCCCATACATATGTATACGATAACTCAATACACTTCACTAACATACATATACACAGTGCATTCATCTACACATAACCTATACATACATATATACATTGTCTACTAAAACACACACACACACATCATTTTCATTACACACACACACACACACACACACACACACACACACACACACACACACACACACACCTCTCTTCTTCCCCTCTTCCTCCCATCGTTGAAAATCCCCCATTAATTAATCCACTAGGAATACCTTCCCTCTCTCCTCCTCCTTCCTCCCTCCCTCCCCTTTCCCTTCTCCCTTCCTCTTCCCCTCTTTCTTCCCTCTTCCTTCTCCTCTCCCTCCTCTTTCCCTCCCTCCCCTCTCCCTCTCCTCTTCTCCTCTCCTCCTCTCCCTCTCTTCCTCCTCTCTCTCTCCCTCCCTCCTCCCTTCCTCCTCTCCCTCCCCTCTTCCCTCTCTCCTCCCCTCCCTCCCTCTCTCCTCTCCCTCCCTCTCTCCCTCCCCTCCCTCTCCTCTCTCCTCCCCTTCCTCTCTCTCCCTCCCCTCCTCTCTCCCTCCCTCTTCCCCTCTCCTCCCCCTCTTCACCCTCTCTTCCCCTCTCCTCTCCATCTCCCACTCCCCCTCAATCCCAAGAACGGATTTACGATCGGGTGGTCGGGTAGTTGTCTCCGGATAACTGGGCAGCCGATAGGGATTACACTGAGTTGCTATTACATTATCCGGGTCCTGCTGTAGGTAGTTCGCTGTCAGTCCCAACAAGGTGGAGTGGATTTATGGGCGGGTGGGTCTCCTAGGGGCTGATCTCCGCCCATACGCCCACTTTATTCCTCCTCCGTAGATTTATTTCTTAGGAGCTAGGAGGAGGAGGTGGTGAAGGAGGTGGTGAAGGAGGTGGTGAAGGTGGAGATGGTGGTGGTGGTGGAGAAGGAAGGTTGAGTTCTCCTACTTTAAAGTGGTTCTTGGAGATACTGAGGATTCTCTCTCTCTCTCTCTCTCTCTCTCTCTCTCTCTCTCTCTCTCATAGTGTATTTGATTTGACTTGACGACCATATATAATTTTCCTTCCCTTGTTAAATTCTTTGTATACTGTATATTTCATTTGTTTATTCTTTTAAAGATTTCTAATTTGTTTATTTTACGTTTTTATGTGTAATTTTGTATTTATTTTGTGAGTAAATTTGTACTTTATTTTGGGTAATTTTATCAAGATTTTAATTCATTATTTTTTTCATATTTCTTTTTCCTTCAATTTCTTTTCTAGTTCGAGTTTATTTCCTGTAAAATTTATTCTTTATTTTTTTATTAATTAATCAAAATATTATATTAATTTTTGTATTAATTTTTATATTTATTTTTCTGTTGTTTACAGATTGGATGACCCCTTTGGTTAGCGGCACCCAGCTGAGCCCTACGCCTACCGCGCCCACGGTCTCAGCGGCTCCTACGCCCACACTCTCGCACGCCCACCTGGCAGTCATGTACTCTCCGGCAGCCTACTCAGACCAGCCCACGCCCTACCCACTGCCTACGTTGGGGGGCGAGCAGTCCGCCTTCTATTCTCCGACGGTGAGATAAATAATAATAATAATAATAATGACAGTAATAATGTATAGAATATTGATAATAGTGAACATTTCTATAATATTAATTCATGTCAATACACAGTACCACCACACAAGCCAGTATAGCACTATATTGATATTAACTAACCTACCTTCCCTCCCTCTCCCTTCCTCCTTCAGGCAGCGGGACTTGAGCTGAAGGACTCTCTGGCAGCGTCCCCAATGGCCCCCACCTGGCCCTATCCGTCCGTCTACTACCCCTACGACACCGCCCTCGCCTCCTATCCCTTCGCCGGGTTAGTCCACCCTCCTCTAGGCGTCCTGGGCCCAGATGCTCAAAGGTTCGTACGTTAAATTCTCTTCCTCTATCTGGTGATGTGAGAACGCATCTGATCGTGTCCAAACTAACATGGCGTTGTAATATTCCTTTGACTGTACTCTTGCTCCATAGTGTTCTCGTATCGCCACTTAGGGAGTAAAATTTAACGTACGATTTTGTTGGGGAATCTGGACCTTGACATATTTTGTGATTTTTTTATTTAATTAATTATCAGATTAACCGTAGTATCCATTTTTTTGAAGTTGTCAATATTTCTTAAGACTTTACTTGTTATGTCTATCTAAGGACAAATTAAGATCATTTCTTAATTTGTTTATCGTAATTTATAAGACATAATTACAGTTAACTTGTATTTTGTGTTGGATTATGATCTATACGGCAGCTTAATCATAATAATGAGAATAATGGACCGTCAGAATCACTGCATTACCCTGGCGTACAGTCATTGCCTCTTACCGCCAGACCCTTACTATTGAGTTGCTGAAACATGACAATATACAGTGAAACCTCCAAATAACGGACTTCACTCTCCATATAATCCGTTAAATGGGGGTTTCACATTTAACAGACCCTCGATATAACGGACTTTCCTCTCCATATCGTCCGTTAAAGAGAGGTTTTACTTTATTAGTGTAAGTTACCTGTACCTGTATGACGACTACTAACCCACAGTCTTTTCCTCACACAGTTATGGCGTGGGTCTCGACGCCGCCCGCAGGAAGAACGCCACCCGGGAGGCGACGGCGACGTTGAAGGCGTGGCTGAACGAGCACAAGAAGAACCCTTACCCCACCAAGGGAGAGAAGATCATGCTGGCCATCATCACCAAGATGACCCTCACACAGGTACGACTTCCTCCTCCTGCAGGTGGTGGTGATTAGTGATGGTGATGAATGGTAGTGGTGGCGATGAATGGTAGTGGTGGTGGTGATGAATGGTAGTGGTGGTGGTGATGAATGATAGTATAGTGAAGATTGGTAGTGATGGTGTTAGGGGGGTGTGTAGTGGTAGGAGAGGGTGTATGGTGATAGAGGGAGGGTGTATGGTGGTAGGAGGGTGTATGGTGAGGTGTATGGTGGTAGGGAGTGGTGTATGGTAGAGGGAGGGTGTATGGTGGTAGGGGATGGTGTATGGTGGTAGGGAGGGTGTATGGTGTTGAGGGAGGGTGTATGGTGGTGAGGAGGGTGTATGGTAGAGGGAGGGTGGGTGGTGGGGAGGGTGTATGGTAGGGGAATGGTGTAGGTGGTAGAGGGAGGGTGTATGGTGGTAGGGAGGGTAGGGTGAGGGAGGGTGTAGGTGGGGAGGTGTATGGTAGAGGGTGTGGTGGTAGAGGAGGGTGTATGGTGGTATGGGTAGGGGAGGGTGTATGGTGGTGGGGTGGTAGAGGGAGGTGTATGGTGGTAGAGGGAGGGTGTATGGTGGTAGGGGAGGGTGTATGGTAGGGGAGGGTGTGGTGGTAGGGGAGGTGTATGGTGGTGGGTGGTGGTGGTGGTAGGGAGGGTGTATGGTGGGGTGGGAGTGGTAGAGGGAGTATGGTGGTATGTGGTGGAGGGTGTATGGTGGTAGGGAGGTGTATGGTGATAGAGGGAGGGTGTATGGTGGTAGAGGTAGGGTGTGGTGGTAGAGGAGGTGTGGTGGTAGGGGAGGGTGGTATGGTGGTAGGGGATGGTGGTAGGGAGGGTGTGGTGGTAGGGGAGGGTGGTAGGTGGTGGTATGGTGTGTAGGAGGGTAGGTGGGGGATGGTGGTGGTGGTAGGGTGTATGGTGGTAGAGGGAGGGTGTATGGTGGTAGGGGAGGTGTATGGTGGTGTGGTAGGGAGGGTGTATGGTGGTGGGAGGGGTGTATGGTGGTAGAGGGAGGTGTGTGTATGGTGGTAGAGGTGGTGGTAGAGGGAGGTGTATGGTGGTATGTGTATGGTAGAGGGAGGGTGTATGGGGTGTGGAGGGTGGTGGTAGAGGAGGGTGTATGGTGGTAGAGGGAGGTGTGGTGGTGGTGGTGGTAGGGAGGGTGTATGGTGGTAGAGGGAGGTGTGGTGGTAGAGGGAGTGGTGTAGAGGTGTGGTAGAGGAGGGTGTATGGTGGTAGGGAGGGTGGGTGTATGGTGGTAGAGGGAGGGGGTATGGTGGTAGAGGGAGGGTGTATGGTGGTAGAGGGAGGGTGTATGGTGGTGGTATGGTGGTAGGGAGGGTGTATGGTGGTAGAGGGAGGGTGTATGGTGGTCGGCTGGGTGCACTTCACGGTCTTCTCATTCACCAAGCTCTCCCGTTTGTCAATATTCAATGTGAACTCATCGTCATTCTCTCCCTCCTCGTTACAGGTGTCGACGTGGTTCGCCAATGCACGTCGGCGGCTGAAAAAAGAGAACAAGATGACGTGGGAACCCAGGAGCAAGACCGACGAAGATGATGACGACGACGATGATAAAGACGACGAAAAGATCGACGATAAAGATGACAAAGACGATGATGATAAGAAAGATGATAAAGATAGTAAGTGTTTTACCATTTTTTTTTTATGTTGTTGTTGTTTACTTTGATGACGTACCGTGTCTTGTCTCGGGGCGTTGCTGCTTAATGTTGAGTCTTCTTAGTCATACCATCAGGGGGGTGAAGCCTGCCATGTGTGAAGGAGTGTCGGATGTGACACCCTACCTGACAGCTTCCTGACGGGCCTGAGTTAAATGTCGCTCTATTGCAGGACGATCACCTCAAGGTCGACCTCACACGAGTCTTGTGATTACTTGGTTAAGGGAGAAGTTCAAGGTTGTTTCTTGACCTCGAGGGAGATAGATTTAGTTTGTTTTTTTCTTTGTTAACTTGTGTTGTTTATTCCACAGTTCTGTTCAGCGACGGTGAGAAGGACAAGAAGGATGTGGAAGGTGGGCGGTCTAGTACGGGCGCGGGCGGCACCGGCGCCGGCTCTCCTGGGATACCGCCCACCGACGTCGCACATCCTAAGCCTCGTATTTGGTCCCTCGCAGACATGGCCACGTCAGGCTGTGTGGGCGGCGGAAGTGCGGGCGGCTTAGGCGGACTGAGCGGAGGCGCTGGTAAAATGATGGGAGGGGGCATGGCGCGGGGGCTGCACCTGGAGGGGTCCCCCTACTCCCGCCCGCTGTTCCCCCACGCCTCCTACCCCTACATCCCCCACAGCGTCAGTGAGAGTCTCCTCTCCTACTCCTACACCAAGTCCCTGGCCGCGGGCTTTCCTCCCGTCAGCCTTAGCGACGTGACCACCGCCAGTCTACTGGCTCCCTCACCCCTCGTACACGACCTCTCCAGACACGACCTAGGACGACCAGAGATCTCGCGCCCTGAGGCTCTACGGCCAGACATCTCCCGCGACCTGCCCCGTGACCTACCCCGCCATGAACTGGCCCGGCCAGAACCCCATCGACCTGAACCCCGCCCGCCTATGGATAAGGACGTGTGATGCTCTCACGCCGCCCACACCCACGCCCACGTGTGTTAAATGTCAAAACTATTGTGAGTCGGCCCAGTGTGGCCCAGTGCATGACTGTGGCTCACCTCTGCCGCAGTGTGGCCCAGGGCCTCTCGTATGGTGGATGAGAGGGCGGCCCATGTGACGCCTGCGGCCCTGACCCCCAACCTGTGCCACTGGGTGGGAGGGGACACCGCGCCCTCAGTATGCCAGGGACAAGGTGCCAGTGAAGGACCGGAGGAGAGAGAGTGAGTCCCTGGGCCAGGGGGAGGGAGAGCTACAGAGGGGGAGGACAGTGACGGGACAAACATAGTGCCACCAGCTGTCTCTTGTGTCACAAAAGTTAGCTTAGCAACTTCTCCTCCCTTCAGTACCTTGTTCAAGAAAAATCTCATTAACCTCTTTCATTTTTATATTTTTCCCCCTACCCCCTGAGTGTATCACGGACCCCCTGAGTGTATCACGGACCCCTGAGTGTATCACGGACCCCTGAGTGTATCACGGACCCCTGAGTGTATCAGTGTAAGACGCCAAAGATATTTAATTTAGGATGTTCCTATAAGTTATGTACGACAAAATAGTCTATATCTCTTTGTTGACCCAGGGAGCGAACACACACCCGTGATCACTGTTGATGTTGACCTGAGTAACATATCATGTGGAGCAGCCGCCACCCCCTGTGTGTGTTATAAGCCAGGCTTGTGTGTGTGTGTGTGTGTGTGTGTGTGTGTGTGTGCGTGCGTGTGTGTGTGTGTGTGTGTGTGTGTGTGTGTGTGAGGCCCACCAGCACCCGGCTCTGCGTGCACGCCGCCATAGTGTTCCCTCGTGCCAAAGTTATGAAGTTGCGTTTGTGTCGTGACCGAGAACTGTACGTGGTCATGTTGAGGAAGTGCACATGGTAGAGTTCAAATGCTGCGCGTGTAAAGTGATCACAAATTAACACACTTTACGTCAGGAACTGAAGGTGAAGAAAAAATGAAGACTTTTACACAAATTGATTTTTTTACACTTCATAATCAACCACGTGCTCACCGCTACCACGCTTACGACGACGCCACCACGTACTGAAGAAGGCGACCGACCACGTGCAAAGGCCAGGAGGGGGCAGGACAGAGAGAGAGAGAGAGAGTGAGTGAGTGAGTGTGTGTGCAGGGGAGGGGAGTGTACAAGTTGCCTCCACGTCATTCCTTGAGCGATACTTTTGTGTTTTCCCAAAAAGTTTCAGCTCCAAAGCATTGAGATGCATGTAGATTTCTTATGATTATTATTATTATTATCATTATTATTATTATTATTATTATTATCAGGAATTTATTATATTCATGCTTCCGACTGCTGTGTTGTGACCTCTTGTACACGTGACGATAAGGTCGAATATTCCTCCTTCGGTATTAAGACGATGGGAATGTGAGCCTTATCGAGCCAGGTGTTAAGAATCATAATGGAGTAATTTGTCAGCTGTTTGTTGTCAGTCGTCCACCAGTCATGAAATGATGTGTGTTATGTAATTTAACAGTTTCATATAAGAGTGATTTTTGTACATATGTAATATACAATGATATTTGAACAAATAAATAATTGTGATACATATGTGAGTGAAGCTTCAATCACCTAACCACTCGGTGATTTTTTCCTCGTAATGTGAATTATTTTTATTTAATAGATATTTACTATAATCTACGTAATGCAATACTAGTGACACAAGATGCAATTACGGTGATTTATTCTTGGTTGTAATTATTGTTATTTTCTTGTGCTTACAGTTTCTTAGATTGTGATCACTTAATGATGATGTCTTTGTGTTTAGTGGTATTTTTGGGAGCCAGGTAATTGGTAGTTAAATATAGTTCGCCGTAATAGAGTCATTATCTTGGGGGTGTATACGCATGTTGAGACAGACCTGCATATACACACATACTGTATACATCAACACACTCCCAAACACACCCACACCCCCTCAACACCCCCCCCCAACCCCCCCCCCCAACAATCCCCTCCCCAAACCCCCACCCCAAACACCCCCCTCCCTGAAACACCCCCAAAATCTCTCTCTCTCTCTCTCTCTCTCTCTAGGTATTCGCAATAAACATAATTTAATCGATTTTTTAAAGGTTGTGTTTATTTAGTTTCATTTGCGCCTTTGCTGACCTGACTGCTGGATATTTGTTTGTTTTACGACCGTGAGGGATACCTTTTTTTTTTCCAAGAGGGTTTTAATTAATGATTATCTCTTGATCAACTTTGTATATTTAGCGTGGTATTGGATTTTGTTATCTGTCTGTCTGTCTGTCAAGCCGAGATTTTTACAACTGATGGACTCCCCAGAATACAATGAACACGAGGAGTATTGAAAACGTATGTCTCGTATATTATTTTGACCTTGACCTCTGACCTCTTCTCATTGCGTAACGATAATTATTACTTTATTTTTATTTATTCATTTATAACTTTAATTCTGGTATTCTATTATTTTTGTATTTGGGTTTTGTCTCTTATTTATGAGGAGTTTTTTGTATGTCTGTCTGAGGAAATTTATATATACAGTATTAGTAAACAAACATACACGTATTATACCAGAGTTACTCCTTCACTAGACGAGCTGTATGGTAGTTTATAATTTTGTTTAATCACCTAAATATTAATCCCCCACCCCCTACTTTAACTACTCTAATGCAAACTGGACATGGGCTAATGTTAGGTTAGTGTTTGTTGATGTTAGGTTAGTGTTTGTTAATGTTAGGTTAGTGTTTAATGGTTAGGTTAGGTTAGTGTTTAATTAGTGTTAGGTTAGGTTAGGTTAGTGTTTAATTAGTGTTAGGTTAGGTTAGGTTAGTGTTTAATTAGTGTTAGGTTAGGTTAGGTTAGTGTTTAATTAGTGTTAGGTTAGGTTAGGTTAGTGTTTAATTAGTGTTAGGTTAGGTTAGTTTGAATTGGGAGAGCTTACGTTAGGATTACGATATTTAATCTTAAAGTGAAAGGATCTTGGGGGTGGTTATTCTTCAGCTGCCCAGTGTGTTGTCTTAGTCGAGGTCACAGTACAAGAGGCACACTGATAGGTTGTCCTCTCCCTTGACCACCACTGACGGGTACTGTACAGTGTCTGGGTCCTCATTGACGATGCTTACGAGGCTGCAGGTTAGATAGGCCCCAATCCTATTAGACCCCAGTCATAATAGACCCCAGTTATAATAAGCCCCAGTTATAATAAGCCCCAGTTATAATAGACTCCAGTCTTAATAGGCGCCAGTCCTTATAGACTTTAATCCTAATAGATCCTAATCGACCCCAGTCTTATTAGGCCTTAAATTTATTATTTATCCCTACTAGACGCCATTCAACACCTTACCTTTAGTACCGGGGCGTGATCATAATGGTTACTTAAGGCTGGGACCATTAACACCCATCATTAATAATTAACCATTAACCAAACTGGGATGTACCTCATTTGTCAACCTAAACTACACTTAACATCCTGGTCGTTTATCATAAAATTATACACATTTAACATTAACGAAATATTAACAGTAAGACTTATTGTAAATATCGTATGAATTCATTAACTAAATACAATAACTATTTCCTCGATTACAATATCACGTTTCTGATTACCTGTCCATCAGTCTGTATCTATCATCCTGACTATCATCCTGACTATCATCCATACCATCATCCATACCATCATCTCAGCGTCAACACTCTTGCTACTCCCACGTAAGACGTTTTACATCCTAGACTTATCACATCCCACTACCATTTCTGCCAACACCCCCCCAAACATCACCACCATTGCCACCATCACCAGTAATACCAACATCCCCACCACCCTTGTCAACATCCCCAGCACAAGTAAGAACATCCCAGCAACACCCCACACACCCCAGCACCTCCCCCCACTACACCCCAGCACCTCCCCCCTCTACAACGGAGCAGCTGGTAAAGGGGGTGTGGGGGGGGGAGGGGTCGTGGGACATATACTCAGGGTTGGGACACACTCCAGTCCTCAATGGCTGTGCCCAGGGCGGATGGGGACACGTCTAGCGAGGCCTTAGGAGGGTCTGTGTGTGTGTGTCAGTCCGGGTACACCCATCCCTTATAAATGGAACATATGAAGAGTGTGTTCCCCTCCTTGCCACCACTACCCTCGTGCTGTCTGCCCCTTCCTCCACACACACACACCCCTGGACGCGTCTTGCTATTGATGGATTTCTCTTCCCAGGTTATCAGAATATAGATCGAATTTTCTCGGGTTTAAAATAATGATGTTGTTGATATATAATGTAGTACAGGACTTAAGGGGATGGTGGTAGACGACACCAGCGGCGGCGGCGGTCACGGGCAATAATAAGCATCAAACAAGTCACTCACACTCGCTCATTATGTCACGTGATGGTATAATTGATGGGGTAACGTGCGCCATTTTCCCTGACTCCCCTTTGTCCTTCTCTATTATTATGGCGGTCGTTTATTTGGTTTTGTTAGACATCATGATTTACATTTTATTTATAGCAGAAGCGGCGGGGAGAGGCGCGGGAACATCCGAACGACAAATCAAAGCGAAACGACCCTTAGCGTCCCGTTCACTAGGGTTTAGTTTGGCTGCCCTGGTTGTGGCCGTATACGTAGTGTTGGCAGCACTGTCGCGGGTGGCGGGAAACAATATGGCGTCATGGTTGGCGGTTGCCGAGTATTCCCGCGCGAAGATCGACCGCGTAATCTGACATTATTGACTCACACTCCCAAAAGTATGATGTATGGATCTCAGTGGAGGTTTAGCAGCCTCTAAGGAGGGATGATGAGGTGGCAGATCCGCGAGAGAGGTAAGTGCTGGCCTGGAACCTTCCCCCTCTTCCTCCTCATCCCTCGCCACCATCGTCTCCACCTCACCTCCCCGTCGTAGATTTTGATCTTATAAAAAAAAAAGAAAAAACTTTATAGAATCTCTAATATCTTCAGTAAATATCCTCAGATGTTTGAAAACTTGCCGGGATTTACCGCTCCTTAAGTAAATATTGAATGTGAACATGAATTATATATCGTTGATAATTTGCATATTGAGGGCATAATTTGTGGCAGGTGTTGAGGGTCGGGGAACAGGTAAGGACTCGGCCAGGAAGCATCAAATCAGGTCACTTACACTAACTGCCTCATTAAATACTAAGTATATACACTCGTGGGTATTAGTGAAGCTCTTCTCCATCTTGAAGCTCGGCGGGGGGGTGATGGGGGAGAGGTGAGGGTGAGGCAGGGAGGGGTGGTGAGGGAGTAGTGAGGGGGCAGGGAGGGGTGGTGAAGGAGGCAGAGAGGTGTGGTGAGGGCAGGAGGATGGTGAGGAGGCATGGAGGGGGCAGGGAGGGGTGTGGTGGGGGGAGAGAGGGGCGGGTGGGGGAGGCAGGGAAGGGTGGTGAGGAGGCAGGGAGGGGTGGTGAGGGAGGCAGGGAGGGGTAGTGAGGGGGGCAGGGAGGGGTATGGGGAAGAGACTTAGGGAGTTAGTGATGGTATATATTAGATGCGTCTGAAAGCTTTATGTCTGTTTCTGTATCACCTGAAGATTAAACACCCCTGCTTATTTAACATGATGCACCCTAACCTACCCTACCCTACCCTACCCTACCCTACCCTACCCTACCCTAACCTAACCTACCCTACCCTACTTTATGGTTGGGTTATAATGCTCTCATAATGATACCCTGTTTTGATCCGAATAGGACTACGAATCTTCGGATCACCTGAAGATTCGGTTCCATACCTCCAGGTTACTTCACCTTAGTGTTACTTGAAGGTGTTAGGTTAGGTTAGGAAAGTGACTCTTCAGGTATCCGAATCTTTAAAAGCATTCTAATAATAACATCCGGTTTAGATTTAATTTCGATTCCGGATACTGAATATTCCTTGTCAACAGTGAAGGAGTGAGTGTTTGGTCAGCTCGGAGCCTACGAGTGTTAGGTGTAGTGGAGGGTGAGGTGTAGCGGAGGGTGAGGTGTAGTGGAGGGTGAGGTGTAGTGGAGGGTGAGGTGTAGTCGAGGGTGAGGTGTAGTGGAGGGTGAGGTGTAGTGGAGGGTAAGGTGTAGTCGAGGGTGAGGTGTAGTCGAGGGTGAGGTGTAGTGGAGGGTGAGGTGTAGTCGAGGTGCTAGTTGGAGGATGACAGGGAGGCCGGAACTGGAAGCAAACCCCCTAACCTAACCTAACCTAACCCTATTTCATATTCACCTAAGTTGGTCTAGTTTAGGACAGTGAATGAGTAACAAGCGGTAACTAGTGAAGGGAGGGCGAACACAGACCAATCAGCGTGTATCATAACCCACATACGCGTGCACTTTCGACAAATCACAGGCAGGTCCAGAGCCACTACAATGCCTAATGCTCGTACCGTTGCACGACGAGCGAATAACTCTTTGTTTTGCGTTTTTTAATTAAATCACAATATAATATTTAATTCAGAGCATCGTCCCACAAATTAACGGTTGAACTACGGTCTATTTTCATTTTTTTTGTCCCTCTGTGTTTTATCATGTTGATTTATTTTCATTAATTTATTGTTGGTTTTTTTTTTTTGGTGATTATCGTATTTTTTCTGGTAATTGTAGGGGACA